TGACCTCCCAATCTCTGGAGAGAGAAGAGGACTGAAGATTGAGTTCCATCATGTGGCCAATAATTCAATCAATCATACCCATGTGATGAAACCCCAATAAAAACTCTGGTCACCTGAAGCTGTACAAGTGAACCTGCCAGATTGGTAATCAAATATTTATGTGCTGTCAGGAGGATGCATCCTAAAGACATGGAAGCATCAGGTTTCCTCTAAGGTCTCATTCTGGTGCTTCTTCACTTCGTCAATCCCAATTTATATCCTTTATAATAAAACTTTAATCACAAGCACAGGGCTTCCTTGAGTTCTGTGAGTTATTCCAATTAATTATGGTATTTCAAGGAGTACTGAGAAATCCCTGGAGGTTTGTAGCCAGTTGGTCAGAAGTGTGGGTGGCCTGGGTTACAATACAAGTTTCCAGGTCAATATTAGGATATTTGAAGTCATACTATGAAGTTAAATATGAAAAATCTATATGACTGTATGGACCAGTTTCGATGTAATTGAATATTTTTTTAGTTCTAATGTTCTAGAATGAAAGTTTGGCTCAGATAAGTCTATGAATTGTTCCTCTAACTTAGGTAAGCATTTTTTATCCAATTAGCTGAAAGTTTTAGTGCCATGGGCCTGAGGTAAGGTAGCTAGGACTGGGGTAGAGGTGATGGAAACCTTCAACTTCCAGAAGAACCCATTTCTTTTCTTGAGGTAATCATTTATTTGGGTTGTTGTGTAGTTACACAGGGAAGGAACTTTTAAATTACCTGGTGAATTCTCAGGAATCTCCAGATATTTTTGACTGTTCTAGGGATCTGCTTAGTAATTTCTGAGAGATGACCAAGTGCCATGATAATATGTCATAGTAGCTGGCCAAGGTGCATCATTTTGAGGGCATTCTTCCACTTTTCACTTGCCTTATGTGAATGAGGCTCTAGGCACTGGAAGGCATGGCATCACTGAGCCTCCCAGCAATAGATCTGGTCAGAAGGAGTGGGACATGGTCTCAGATATTAATAGCTGCCAGGAAGCCCCAGTAATTTTGATAGTGTGGCAATCATCAATTTTTCTTATGTTGGAATTCATGGACAAGAACTGAAATTACATGGCCCAGAGGCAACTGATCTCATTCCTTAGCAGAATCAACAAATGACATCATTGTCCCCTTAACGGGGAGGGCCATCAAGCACATTGGCTAGCACTGTCAGAAGACCTACACAGTTCTAGATTACCGCTGACCTCTCTGCAGTTCATGCAATTCATGAGTAGGTATGTGATATATTTTCTCTCAAATATGAAGATAAGAATAAAGTATACTCCAAAAGTGCAAGTGAATTTCTCTGGAAGTGATGCTTGCAATATTCTGGTGTATGTATGATGCTAATGAACAAGGGTTTGGTACTATACTCCCGTCCTTGCTAACTACATGGAGAGTGCCATCTGTGGGAGTTAGAACTTTCAACCTTGTCTCTATCTTCCACTCCAGCCCTTCACTTATATGAGCAGTGGAAGACCAAGAAAACCAAGAAACTCAGGGAATTTTGTTCCAATATCACTCCCAACCAAAGGTTCTCAGAAATTGAGTCAGATGGGTCATCTTTGAGGGTTCATATATTGAGCACTATTGCAAATTGCATCCTGAAGTGCCCTAAACTGAGACAGACTGATGCTAGGCTACAAAATCCAGATATGGCTAGATGAGCAGAAGTGATCAAATTATAAAGGTGGACAGGCTAGAAAATGAAGGTCAGCAATGTATCGGAAGGGTAGAGGCAAGTGGAAGAAAGAAAAGTTGGGGGAAACTTTTGATCCAGAGTCCACAAGCTCATGGAGGCATTTTGTTTGGTGTCTGTGGCTGTTGATGCAGGTATGCTGAAATCCAATACAAGAGTCAAAGCAAAATGAATGTTCAGCTCCAGCATTATCAGTATCAAGTCTTTAATTCTACATCTTTATCAACTTGCAAATCTATCTGTCCCTCTCTCCTATGCAGTTTCTTCCTAAGTTTTAGAGAGTATATCTCTTAAATACTTAATCTATTTCTATGGTGACCAGAGTGATACATCTAAAACATGAATTTGACTTAAACATCTTCAACTCCTCATTTCCTACAGAATTAAATACTAATGTCAGATAGTATATAAGACTACTTATGATCTTGCCCTTTGCTTATTTCTCCATCCTCATCTCTCACCACTTCCCCCCCCTCTCTCCCACCACAATGACCTATTGGTATTTCCTGGAACATACTATTCTATTACATTCCTTCATGACTTAGTTCCTCTGGATATTGTCTGGAATGTTCTACTCTTTTATATCTTACAAATTCCTACTAGTCCTCTAAGACTTTGACTCTGAATTCTTTTCTGATCTACCAAGGCAGAGTTGAACATTCTTTTTTTATAGGTATCTTCTATTTTAGCATCTACTGCAATGAGTTGCAATGATTTGAAAATGTTTTAAGAGAGCAGGGTCCATGACTAATAAATTTCTGTGCCTTCAGAGCTTGGCACAGTGCCCGACACATAGTAGGATCTCAAATTATCTCTGGATACGGAAGTGAAATGCTTTAAAAGCAGGAGGAACTTGTCAATAAGTTCATGTTGTTGATAATCTCTTGGATTCAAGATTTGATATCTGAAGTATGTGATATTGATTCCTTCATTTATGCAACAAGTATTTATTAAACATCTACCCTAAGCTTGGCATGGGAATACAATGATAAACAAAAATAGTTGTGTTCTTCACTACTTTCAGGAGTTGAGGATTTATTGGGGGAAATTATTATAGCAATTGTATAAATTACTAAATAAAACAGAACATATTCTGAGTTTGGCCCATCATGTTAGCTGGAGATTTTCTCTAACACAAGGCTTTCTGTAATATGGGGTCAAAGACTTTGCCTGTTGGGCTACTTTGGCTTCATGAATTCTGCAAGTTTCTCTCCAGTTCTTCAACTTATAAAGCTACAACAAATTGGACTTCCCCAGTGGTCTGGTGGTAAAGAATTTGCCTGTAAATGCAGGGGACACAGGTTCAATCCCTGGTCCAGGAAGATTCCACATGCTGCAGGGCAATGTACCACAACTACTTAGCCTGCACTCTGGAGCCCATGAGTTGCAACTACTGAGCCCATGCAATGCAATTACTGAAGCCCAGGTGCCCTGGAGCTCATGCTGCACAAAAAGAGAAGCCACCATGATGAGAAGCCCGCGCACAACAACAGAGTAGCCCCTACTCACTTCAACTAGAGAAAGCCTGCAGAGAGCAACGAAGACTGAGCACAGCCAAAAATAAATAAGCCCCAAATTTAAAAAACTACAACAAATTAAAACACAACTTGTAAGACAAGTTGAACATCTTGTTTTAATCCAAGCAAAACTTTGTTTTCAGGAATATGTGGACTTTGTATCAGTGGCTTTATAGTTTACCAAATGCTTTTGTATTTATAGTGGTATTTTGTTTTGCTTATAGTCAAACCAAAAGAATATAGGTGAAGCAGTCAAAAATCAACAAAACAGGATCACTTTATTACATTGTAGGGACTACTTTTAGGCGATGACATGTTATCAATATATATATCCAAGAAAATAAAGACTCTAGACCCCTGCTAAAAGCCAATATAAAACACAAGCTTTTAATCCAGGCAGTGTTACTGGAGGAGTGAGAGAAGCTGCCAGATCCTGACAGTTGAAAATAGAAAAAAAAAAAGTAGCTCCTATGAAAATCAGATATGAGAAAGTTTGAATAAACCCAAACCAGGTCCTACAGGGTCCTATTATCTTGATATCCCTGAGGGTTGGGTTTTTGTTTCCGTCTCATTCGGGATTAGTACAAACAAGTGCTTATAAACAAGTACAAACTTGGAGTCAAAATGACCAGTGATGTACAATCGGTTAGGTCCATTCAAAGGTATAATAGCCAGAATTTCAGGGGAAAGACAGTCTGTTTTAAATGTCACTTAAGACAGAGGTTTACCTTTCTTGAATTTGGCAATGCTCTTTTCCCTCAGTCCCTCAACTGAAAATGATAACTAGGAATTGCTGCAGAACAAAGAAACAATATTCTTTTTTTATAGGTAGCATGCTGCTGTGGCAGAGACACACAGCCACAAGGATTAAATTATAAGGCCCTCATTTTCATATATATAAAGATTATAAACAAAGCACAAAGCAGAATAAAGTTGCAATTTCAGCTTGAGTCCAAAGTAGTTGACGATCCCTAAATTGAAGCTACTTTGCTTAATTAGCAATTAAAAAATCATTTTATAAAAGTCATAGTATCCTGTAACAGTTAGTCTATTAGTATTTTCCCCCTTTATGAGGGTCTCAGAGAAAAACAACAGTTTTATCACCTTTAAAAAATAAAAATCATAGGCCAGGCACAGCTTTCAAGGCTCTTTGTAAGATTTAGGGAAAGGAGGAAAGAAACTTGCAGTTCTTTCATCCTTTGTTCCTAGATCTAAACAGAAGCCTATTATGCCCTTTTTGTGCACTAGTTTTTTCCAAAAAAAAAAAAGTTTTGGCTTTGGCCTAAAACCCTCTGGAACCATACTCCTGTCCATTTAAATGCAACCCTGGGAAGGCTAGTATAGTGATACATTTCATCTACAAACTTCAGTGTAAAATAACTGGGTACAAAACGTTGGATTTTTATCTCAACAGTAGCAAATATCTATGTACAAACGGGGATTGCTTTTCTCAAAACCGGACTCTCTCCATTTCCTAAATTCACTTTACCATTGTGGTTTGGTTACTTGTTTTTGATGGGCAGAGTTGCAGTCGGGATTATGGAAGGGAGTTCTTGCACTGGTTAGGTGACCAGGCAAGTTAACCAAGGAGCTCATTCTGGCTCCAGAAAGGGGAGTAGGTCATCCCTACTTGCCAGAACTGGATCATTCCCAATCCCTGACACCGGGAGCGGGTCATCCCAACTCCCAGAAACTGGGAGTGGATCATTCCCACTCCCCGCTGAAGAAGGAAGACAGTCACGGCCAAGCTCTCTGCTACCTGCGACTCTGGACTTGATTGTCCCCATAAGACCTTCAAAGGGTCTGAATGTGACTGATTTCTTCATGTCTCCAAGCTTCCTGCAGATGGCAGAGCTCATGGTGGACAGGGCAGCTGACGTCTTTTGTTTCATGTAGGCGTTGGAGACCTGAACGTCGTGCCAGCTCTTGGACAGATTCTGCTTCAGCCCCACTAAGGCCGTAAGACCCAGCTTCCTCTTGAGCTCCACGCAGCGTCTTTCTCTGGCTGCCAGTGCTTGGCGTAGTGTTACAATTTCTGCCTCCAGTTCAGCGAGCTCAGATTTGAGCTCCTTTTGCTCTGCCTCAGTAAGATCCTCTGGTTTGGCAGTCGAGTGGGATTCATAAGGGCCTGCAGAGGTCTCTGTCAAGGCGTCTGGCATAGACTGAGAAAGATCTTCATTAAGAGAGTCCAGGTCCAGTTCTTGGTAGAGACAGTCGAACTCGTGACCAGAGGAGAAACAGTATTGGCCAGCAGAGTTGAAGTCTAGGCCTTCCGGGTCAGACTCTAGGGTGGGGTGGGACTCTAGGCAGGAAGGATCCATGTCTTGGCTGGTAGAACGGATGCCTTGGCCAATGAGTGAATGTCCTGGCTGCGGACTAGATGCCTTGGTTTATAGGGTCCACTTCTGGCTAGGGTTGCGGGCGGGGGAGGGGGGGATGGCTGGAGGGTAGGGTAGGTTGGGTTGGGGTGGTGGAGGTCGGACTTCCGGCCTGAAGGCGGCGGAGGGCGGAACTTAGGCTCAGTACCTGCGCCTCCAGTATTCATAGTGGTTTCGACATCACAACGTCCCTGTGAGGTAGGTACTGTAGCAGTTGTCAGGGAGAGGAACTTTCCCTCCTACATCAGTAGGTGACTGGTTCTGGCCTTCAAACCAAATCTGACTCCGTGTACGGACCTCTTTCCATCACAGAAGCCATTTTAAAAACTCTGAAAAGTTGAACTTTTTTGTGCTAACAGATTTATAACAAAGCCTCATACATGAAATAAATAAAAACCGCCTCAAAGTGGGACAGGGAGTCTAGAACTCCAATTGATACCCTCCCAATTTTCCCTTCCCAAGTTCCTAAAGGGGCCTGAGAAACTTCTGGCACCACTTATAAAGTGTATTTGAAGGCCCCTCAAAGCTCTTAAATTTAACAGTGCCCCCATGGCATGGAGTATCAACAGTACCAGAGGCTTGGGGTGGTAGAGCTTAGAAAATGAGCCTGACCAGTCACAACTGTCTGTTATTTTGAAGAAGGAAAGGGAGTGAGAATTAGTAAAAATATATTTGTGTCAAGTTTAAGTTTAAGAAAAGCAAAGGTTACTGTATTATGAGAATTTAAGAGAGAAGAAATACGATATATGCAGATATATGCATGTGTTTTCAATTTCTTTTTTTTTTTTTTTTCTTTTCCAAGCATCCACTGAACATTTCTGAAGGCACGTCTGTCCACATGCACAGTTATCAGTTGTGGGAGGTGGTCCGCAAAGAAAAGTAGTAGTAGTATATCCCCTACTTCAGTTAGAGCTGGAAACTTACAGAGTGGAAAAATCAGGACTTCAGTGAGGGCAGGTGGCTAGGTGTCACTTAGCTCATTACCTGGCTGCCCGTTCCCAGGGGATAGCCTTGAGCAGGTCTTAGTTTCTAGTGGTTTTGTTGGATATTCTGGTAATTCTTACAAGCAGGATCTTGTGGAAGGTGATATGATCCTCAGCAGATTTCAGTGATTTGCCATACTCATGTCTATATAGCTACAGTGAAGCATCTAGCTGGCATCCAAACCAACCACAAACCTTTGACTTTATATTTAATAATCCTTTCATATCATTCAGTAGTGTTTATTATTGGCTTACCTTGAAGCATGTGCCTCCCTAGATTTAAAAAAATGAGGATTGCCCTTGTGAAAACATGAAGGCTGATAAGGGATTTTCCTGTATGTATAAAGGCCTGAAAAGGGCAGTAAGGACTGCATAAAAACTGTTTTATTCCAGAGGGTAGACTCTTCCTTCATTGCCTGCAGAAACACTAGTGGTTTCAGGAGTGTTCTGACTCTGAACCAGTACTCTTCTTTCAAAACTGAAGGTGAAGGGCAAAGAAACCTCTGAATTAAGCTAAATAATGTGGAGCACACATTTGTCTATTCCAAACCACTGGATTTGAGCTTACACTTGATTATCCTCTGAATTGTTACAGCCACCAACCTCACTGCCTATTTTCTTATTTTTCTGTTTCCTCGCCCTTTAGTTTAGTGTGTGAAATCTTTTGTTAAGTTTGATTCTTTTGGTAGAGGAATGATTGCTCTCATACAAAATTGACCTGACCTCTCTGAGCAACTTTGTTTCCAGATTCCATATCAAAATATAGCCTCTGGAAGGGGGCCTCCTAACTAGTAATGTTCTGACCTGAGTAGACGTGGAAAAATAGGTAACACAATGAAATAATCCATGTTATTAGGCTTATGCATAACCACATAAAAAAAAACTCATGTATTTTGGAAACATAGATCTATCAAATGAAATTTCACTTGATTTATAGTGATTCTAACAAACTGTTTGAATAAATTGTTTTTTTAAGATGTAAAATACTGAGCTACTGCCTCATGACTTTAGAAGCTCACATCTCTAGATTACACAATGAAATAATCTATATTATACAGCAAGGCTCACAAAACTGTTCATCTGAAACTGAAAGCTTTCTGATGCTATTTATGCAGTAAAAGGGGCTTCCCTGATGGCTCAGATGGTAAAGAACCTGCCTGCAATGTGGGAGAGCTGGGTTCAATCCCTGGGTCGGGAAGATCCCCTGAAGAAGGAAATGACTACCCACTTCACTATTCTTGCCACTGCAGTATTCTTGCATGGAGAATCCCATGGACAGAGGAGCTTGGCAGGCTACAGTCCATAGGGTTGCAAAGAGTCAGACACGACTGAAGCGACTCAGCATGCACACACATGTACTAAAACCAGCCGAAATATTTGATTCAGTGACCTCTGAAAAGAGATCTTGAAAATTATTTTTATTCCTACAATGGTTTGCTATCCTTTGTTGCCAAGGAAGACATTATTGACCCATTTTTAGCGAAGAATAAAATTTGAATTATTTCTCTAGTAAGAGTGGTGGATTTATACCACTCCTTTGTAAAGGTAAGTGATACAACAAAATGATTGTTTTTCTTTTACCGTTTAGAAGCCTATATGTTATCTTTTAGGAATGAGTTAGTAAAACTTGAATGTAAAAGCGTAGTTATACCACTCACCAGGTCTGGGTTGTTTGGGGATGGAAGGAGTGAGATTGTATTAATTGATACTTGAGTCTAGAAATGGTTCGGGACTTGCACCAGTGTCAGCGATTTTCACTACTTCTTTTGTTGCACTGTGTTATAGACTAAGTCGCTTCAGTCGTGTCCAAATCTTTGTGACCCTGTGGACTGTAGCCTTCCAGGCTCCCCTGTTCATGGGATTCTCTAGGCAAGAATACTGGAGTGGGTTGCCATTTCCTTCTCCAGGGGATCTTCCCCACCCAGGAACTGAACCCACATCTCTTAAATCTCCAGCATTGGCAGGTGGGAAGTACCACCTGGGAAACCTCTTTCATAACTTCTTTTGTTATGAAAGGTCAATATAGAGCTTCCTGATTATATCAACTCTCGTAAAATAATCCACATCGGTGGTTTAGATTGCTTCTAAAGAAGTGATAACTCACCCTGTAGTCTGATCGTTTGCACTGCCAGATTTAACCATAGTGATTTCCCTAGGGTTTTATTTCTGTGATGACAGAACTATAATACTATCATGAATATTTTGTTCATTTTAGCTGAATACCAGAAAAATGTTCAAATATTCAATTGGGCCTTAAAATAAGACATATAGTTGAAAGCCTAATCCAGTCAGAATGTTTCAAGAGTAGGAGGAGAAAATTGGTAGTTAGGCTTTTCTTGTGGAAAGCCATAATATTATATTTGATTTCAGTTTGTAAGTTATTTTCATAACTATCTCACATCACAGCCCAGCTCCATCAGTAATGTATGCAGTGAGTCACCCTCTGCATAGATATTCTCCAGCATGAACTGATTTATTTGCTGCAGTTCACAGCTGCTTGAGTTATTAGTAATAATCCTCACAGTTCAGCAGTTGAGTTGGTCTTCATTTAGAACCAGGATGGCATTTCCTTTCAGTAGCCCTTCTACATGGACTAATTAACTAAAAAAATAATGAGGTATATTACAGAGTAGGATTTTCCTCTCTGAAGCCCAAACATACTCTCAGGAATTAAATAGGAGCTTATTTTATTTGGAGAGTTATTCACTCTCTTTGGTGGTGTATGTAATTGTAGCAAGAATCCTTGGAGGAATCAAATTGAAATTCAGAATCTGGTTGAATCTGAAGAAGTAGTGTTCTCCCTCCTCCATTTTGCAATAGATGATATGTATGAGATGAAGTGGCTTATTAGGAGGAATTTTGTGTGTGGCTCCTCAGAAGGAGAAGAAGAGGAACTGACAAGGAGGTGGAAGGGTGGAAAGAAGGGAAAGGAAAATGTTCAAAAGATATAGGAACTTCTCCAATTAAAATAAATTAATTAATTTAAAAATACATATAGGAACTTCCGTAGATTAAAAATGAATATTTTTCTTGGTGGGAATGTGAAGGCTATATAAAGACCTACAAAGGGTAGTTGGAGTTCCCTGGTGACTCAATAGTAAAGAATTCACCTGTCAATGTAGGATACTCAGGTTCAGTCTCCGGGTTTGGAAGATCCCTTGGAGAAGGAAATGGCAACCTGCACCAATATTCTTGCCTGGGAAATCCCGTGGGCAGAGGAGCCTGGCGGGCTACAGTCCATGGGGTCACAAGAGTCAGATGTGACTTAGTGACTAAACAACAACAAAGAGTAGTAAGGGCTCTTTAACCACTATTTTGTTCCAGAGAATGGACTTTTTTTTTTGATACTTGCAGACACAGTGTTTTCAGGCATTTTCCCAGATTCTAAACGAGAAACTCTCCTCTTAATGCTGAAGATAAAAGGCAAAGAAGCCCCAAAAGTAAGCTAAATAAAGGGCAATATGAGCAGACTTTAGGGGTGTTTTCACAACAGAATATGTTCTCATTTGTTTTTTTTTTCCAGTTGGATGAGGAAAGTGTAGGGAACAGATTCTCCCTTTCCAGAAGTTTTTATTTTATTTTATTTTCTTCTTACATGATGAAAGATAGTATGTTGGATGGTAAGTCCTGGGAGCGACAACAGGGAGTCATCCAAGAGAAGAGTGTATGTGAAGCTGGTATATGAGCCAGAAAAGACTTGCTTAGTTATGGGCTGAGAGAAATAGGTTGTCTGTGCTCTGCCAAGGAACCCAGGGATTTTTGTGTTTCTCTAGTCCGGATCTAGGAGAAGGCAATGGCAACCCACTCCAGGACTCTTGCCTGGAAAATCCCATGGACGGAGGAGCCTGGTAGGCTGCAGTCCATGGGGTCACAAAGAGTCAGACACAACTGAGCAACTTCACTTTCACTTTTCACTTCCATGCATTGAAGGAAATGGCAACCCACTCCAGTGTTCTTGCCTGGAGAATCCCAGGGACAGTGGAGCCTGGTGGGCTGCCGTCTATGGGGTCGCACAGAGTCAGACACGACTGAAGCGACTTAGCAGCAGCAGCAGCACCAGCAGCAGTCAGGATCTAAGAACTAGGAGGATTCCTTAAAAAGGAAGCAGGGAATTATCGAAAGGCATTTTGACACACTTGCTTCT